GAGCAGGGATGGAGCCTCCCAAAATTTTCTCCATGACCAGGACAAGGTATCTGTAATAAGGTGTCTGAGTCCAGGGCTATAAAAACAGCTGTTCTACCCACTTCTGTACTTCTGTAGGAAAATACCTGCTATGTGCTGACAGGAAGAAGTAATCTTGAGGAATGAAGTCAGGTATTAGGAGAGGCTCTCCAGAATGAGAGACTGGTGTTCTTGAGACTTCCCTCTGCTTCACTGGCAGCTGGTTCATAGCCAGAATTTTGGTTCCTCCTGGAAACCATGTTATAATCCCAGGTCAGGACAGAGAGTGTTGAAAATAAAAGAGAAGTTGTTCTAGCAATAAAGCATCAATAAAGATCACTGCCTATGAAAGAGCTTTATAAACCCAGTTTTACCTCAGCCCTGAGAGAAAAGATCCAGGCTGTTTGCTGATGAGCTTTCCTAGTTTGGTCTTTTTTTTTTTTTTGTTTCCTTTTTGACAGTCTGAGACAGACACCCCCAGAGCAGAGCTGAAAGACAGGCGAAAAAAACATGCATCTAGTTTCTGATTCAGACCACTGGGTACATGACAGGCTAAACTAAAGATCCTACAAGAAGCTTCTTTTCTTCTCTTTCACATCAAAATACTGCGCTGCAGAGCTGCTCTTTCCTTCTTTTAATATCACAGATGCAGTTTCTCTAGAACTTCCTGGGGGATTTAATAAGGTTGTTGCAACCGCCCAACCAGACAAAGCCGTGTCCTCACTTCAACCTGGCAATACAGAGGATTTTCTCTATGGTGACATCTATATAATGCACCCCAGAGTGTGGATTTCTCATAACAGCAGAAAAAATATATAGCAGAAAAATTATATAGCTGTTACCCAAGAGGAAGCAATGTTTCAGAAAAAACAAGTCACGAGTTTTCAGCTGGTGGTGATAATTTCTTTATTGTAGCTGATGGGATTTCCATGAGATGTTGCTACCAAAGGGCTGACCTTCATGCAAATCACTTTTGTGTATAGCTAAACAGATACCTGTAGCATTCAGGTAAGTATCACTCTTCAAAATATGCCACCCCTCAGACACATTTGATGACATCAGCTTTCCTAGCTCTCCGATGAGAGCAAACTCAATCATTTCATTTTTGTTAAGAAATGAGACATTTGAAAGTCTGAAATGTCTTTGATCCCAGTTATTAAATTGCTACAGCATGGCAAACAGGCAGTGAAAATACCCAATGGAATAGCCAAAATTAACCTCCTGTGTTTAAACACTAGTGCTGTCCATCTGTAAAGCAGGTATCTGTGGTACTCAAGACATGAAAAAATCAGGGACAATATATCCAAACTGCATGCTGGCTAAAATATAAAGCTTTTCTAAGTTAAGCCACTGGTTAGAGAAAAGGAGCTGCTGCCTCAAAGCTTATTGCAAGAGCAGGACCTTATTGTTTTCTCCTATAAGCTATTTTTTATTTTGGGACAAGCCCAGCATAGCTGAGCTACCAAATTCTCTCTTGAAATTAAGTTGTTTTGTGTTGTTGCTGTTGGGGACTTCTGGTAAAAATAGGATTAATGTTTAATTTACAGTTTTAGGGATTTTTGTGAAGATGAAAGAACTTTTGCTGTAGTGGGCTCTTAGCCTGTAGTAGTACCGGTTTGTGTTTTTTGTAGCTTCAAAAAGCAAACATCAATAAATAAATAAAAAGTCTGTTTGAATGAAAAATGTCCCCCGGCTCAGTGAGCTGCAATGGGCCTGTCAGTGTGTCCTCCCCCAGCATCTCCAGAGGGTGCTAATGCAGCTCCACCTGCCAGGAGCACAAAGAGAAGCTGCAGGATCCAGAGAGTAATTCCCAGGGAGATTTAAAACTGGCATTTGAAAACAGACATTGTGGGAAATCCTCCTGGAGCCAGACAGGGGAGAACTGCAGCCAAGGTGACCACACTGTGCTTGCTCACCCCTGGGATGTCAGAGGTGCTGGGTGTGCCTGGATCCAGCAGGCTTGTCCTTCCCTGAAGCTTGCCAGAGAAATTATAAAACCTTAAGCAGCTTAAGAGAAGGATATTGTACAGATGAATGTTCTCAGCTCTGTACAAGCCACACATGGATTGCAAAGGTTGGGATTTTCCTTCAGAGGGGGTACCCAGCACAGGTATGCAGGTACAGTACCTGAGACACCACACAGGTCACTACAGCAGAGCTGTTTTTTGCTTTGTGGTCATCCTTGTCTACAGTGAGGCTGTTTGATATTTGGGCTGCAGCTGGAAAAGCCTTTTTTGGAGTTTATGGTGGATGCATTTAGCAGAGGGTTGGTCTCAGGCCGTAGTAACCATGATTCACACTGGGTTTTTAAGGTGTTTGCCCTGTTTAAACTTAGTACAGGTTGCTGGTAAAACAGTGAACTTTTCTAAGGGCAGATATAGATAATATCAAGTGGTGAAGCCAAACAAGCTTTCCATCCCAGTAAGATACCCAGTGACTTGAATAATGTGTTTTGTATCCTCCCATTTAATTTTCCTCAGCAGGGGACTGTTGGTGACAGACGTGTAGAACCAACTAACTTCACGCATCCTGTCTCATTCCCTCATCTTTCCTCCTTTCTTTCCACACAAAGCTTATTCTTGTAATAGTTCGAAAGAGTCACAATTTCTTAATGAAATTCCTTACTTCTGACACACTCTGTAAAAAATAGCAACCCTTCAAGTAGACATCTGCTTGGAATTTTTGCAGTGTTTAATATTTCCCAGAATAGGGCCATAAATCATCTTCTGCCAGCTTCAATGTGCCAGCCGTTGTAATTCCTGCTTGCTTTGGGGAGCCATAGGCTTCAGGGTCAGAGTTACATGGAAAGATCAAAATTGGGGCTGGGAGATCGGTGTGAGTGAATTTATTTCTCAAATTACAAAATGCAGGAGAGAGCGGAGAGATTTAGAAGTTTTCTGAAGGGCCTGACCCCCTGCAACTGTGCACTGGGGAGAGAAATGTAGTTACCTGTTGCAAAGAGAAGGAAATTACCATCCAGGACTAATAGAACAGAAAATACAGGCAGGAGCCACGGGAAGGAAAAGCAGAGCAAGCTGCTGACTGCAGAACAGTGTTATTGAAGGTTTGCAACCTGGGAGCTCAGTTATGTATCCATTTCTCTGAGACTGCCACAGTGGGAGGTGATGCGAAGCCTAAGAAGGCTGGAAGCCAAACCTGAAAAGAAAAGGTTGGAAATAGCTGTTTTCCTCAGGGATTTGATTAGCCCAGAATAGGTGAACTGAATCAGGGGACCAGGCCCTCCAGCAGCTGAACTGCAGAAAGCCTGGAAGGGAAACCTGAGGCGGAATAGCGGTAGCATCACATCACATGGTGATGCACTGCAGATCCGCATCCTGCTAAGTTGAACTACTTTTTATTCCTTGGAGAAAGGGCTCATTAGCCCTTTTAATTATTTTCCTTACCGCTAGAACTCCAGATGCCATTATGTTATGTAAAATGACAAATGTATTTTTAACTTGTAAAGCATGTGAACTTTTAAGTTCCTTCCAGTGATACGAACACAGCTCCATTTCAATGCGTGACTCATCTTCACATGTAGGGGAAAAAAACCTCAGCGTTTCACATCCTTGTAACCACACGCCGTGCACCGGCGATGAGCGACAGTTGCTGTGGGAACCACCACTTTTAAATGTCCTGACTGTGCCCCCGAAAGTGCCAAGAAATACTGACCGCGTGGAATTTACTGGGAGCATTTAGTGACAGAAGCCTTTCAGCTGAAGGATCATTGCCCGGGATCGCGTCTCAGTGCTTTGTTCACAGCAACAGCCCGTTTCAAGCAGGGTTTGGAGCGAACGCGGTGATCCTTCCCCAAGGATCCATCGGGGCAGGGCCGGCGGTGCCACCGCGCGGGCGCGCTGCGGCACCAGCCCGGAGCCGCCGCGGCTCCAGCCCGCCCTCCTCCCCCTCCGGCAGGGCCGTTTACCCCAGTACATTAATACCGTGATTAAAATCACCTTAAAATCGCGGCGGGAGCTGCTCCGCACCCCCGCGGGGAACCTGCAGCCGCGCATGAGGCAGCTGCCGCTCCCCGCTCAGGCCCCGCGGGCCCGGCACGGCCCAGCCCGGCCGGGGCGAACCGGGGGGCTCGGGGCGGCCCTGGGGGCTCGGTCCGGGCCGGTGCCGCCGCCCGCGGCTCGGGCGGGAAGGCGGCGCGCACCTGGCCGGGGCGGCGGGGCGGGCCCAGGCAGAGCCCGCCTTCCCCGCGCCGCTCCGGGAAGCCTCGGCTGGGGCCGCGCCGCCACAGCAGGTAAATCGTCCCCCGTGGCGGAGCTCCCCCCGCTCGGGTCCCCGCCGCCGTCACCCCCCGCCCCGCTCTCCTCGCTTCGCCTCAGGGCTCTCCCCCCTCGGTGAGGGGGCTGCGGGAGCGGCCCCGCTGCTCGTGGCTCAGTGTTAACGGGGCTCCCGGCCCCGGGACCCGCCCGGGGGCTCCCCCTCGGGGACCCAGCGGGGCCCGCACGGCTGTGGGAGCAGCACCATTGCAACCCCAGCTTTTGGGTGGTTTGGTGGCCCCTCAGCCGTGGGCCGCCTGCCCCTCGCTCTGTGGGCCCAGGCAGCTGAGGCGCTGTCCCAGGGTTCGATGCCTGCCCAGGCAGTGCCGCTCTGGGGTTTGATTCAGGTGCTCGTGGTTCTCTTGCGTAATTTGGGAGTGTCAGGGGAAAGCAGGGGACCGTTGTGGGGATTTCTACACAAAACATTGAGACAACAAGTTGTTGATGCAGATTTATAAGCTTAAGCTCCGTTCTGTTGTACAGAGCTTAGCTAACATTTTAGTCCAAGGCTTAGCAGTTGCTCAATTTTGGTTGCAGTAAAAGCAGTGATTTATAAGTGCAGACTGATGCCAAAGCGTGCTTTCCTGAGGTGAGCCTCCACTCTTGGTCTAGCACCTGGTCATCTTGTTAAAAAAAGAAGAGAGAAAAGTGGTGAGGTGGGAGAACGTTAGTTGACCTCAGTTACTAACACCTGTTTACATTTTTACTCAGGACTAAATGGCGAGCAAATGGACTGTTTGATCGCTTGAGAGGAGGGACTCTGCTGAGGATACCCGACAGAGTCCCTGTGGGGTATCTCTGTCGTCCCAGACTCTTCCCTGATATGGAACAAAGTGAAGGTGAACAGGAATCCCAGCCAGAGAGTCACGTGGAGAGCAAGAGCAGCGTGAAGTCCTTGCCCGGGGGACCGGCCCATGTCAAACTAGAGATTAAAAAACATGCGGTTACGGATGACTACAAACTCTCCAAACGTGTGCTGGGGTTAGGAATCAATGGCAAAGTACTGGAGTGTTTCAACAAGCAGACAGGCCAGAAATGTGCTTTGAAGGTATGTGCATTTTGTCTTTTTTTTCCTTATTTCTAGTGTGGAGGCCAGAGTTCACTCCCAGAGTCTTGTAAAAGCTGCTTGTTCTGTTGCTTCACAAAGAGCGGTGGGTGTAGAACCTGAATATGTGGAGAGTTGCTATTGCAACACTGTAGTCCAAACTTGAGTCTTTTCCAGAATATTCTGTGTGAGTTTCCAGAATAATGTTATCGGCTGTGACATTCTCGTGTTCCTACTTAAAAGACAAAAAAGCGGGGGAGAGAACAGTGTCTTGGTATGTTCTGGGAGAAAACTTGCTAGATTTTGAATGAACATGTTATGCAATACTCATGAAGGAAACTATTTTGGATCTTGTGCAATGAATAGGCCTTAACTGAGAAATATTTAAATGTTCATTGATCTTCAGTCTTTCCTCCCTTTGAAGACTTTTCTTAAGGAGCATTTCGAGCTGTTTATTTATTCTCCTATTTTATTTTCGCAATCCATTTACAGAAGGATGTTTCCTGGGAAAGCACTGATTACACCAGTATGGCAAATGAGTTTAGCAGATATTTATGGTGATAAGTACCACTTAAATAAATGGAGCAATAACCATTCATTAGAGAACATAAAGCTTGCTTGCCTTTTGTTCTGCAGCTTTTAAACTTGAAGATTTCCCTGATGCTTTTAAACCACATCATTAGGGAAAAAGTAGCCTAAATGAGAACCTGGATGGTTCAGTATGAGAAGACTAAAACCAGCTGAAGTAATTGCCATGGGAATTACTTAAGGATGTTTCAGATGCCTTGCTGGTGTTAATCTGGTTGGTTGGGATGTCTAGGAGGCTTTCAGGTATCCTTCCTTTGCTTAAAACTCACACTCCACGTGTGCTGGGAGCAGGACAGATCTACCAGTGGTGAATTGGAAGGTCTGCCAGGGTCTGGAAAGGGTCTTTTCCAAGAGAAGTGCTGTCCCCAACAAAGCCTTTGCATGTCCATAGAACAGGCTGGAAATATCTGGTAGCTTTGGGTATCGAAAAGATTTGTAACAGAGGAACTAGAAAAGCTTATAATACAGTAACATTTGGATTAATTCCCATGTTTCCAACACTCTCATGTACTTTATGACACTCCTTTGTATTGGCTTCACGTAGCTGACTCACTGAAGTTTATCATGGGGAAACTGGAGGTTTTGACAAACATGGAATACTGGAGGTTTGTGCAACTCTGAGGTGATCCATTAATCAGATCCTTCTGCAGTGCTATCAACATTAATTTCTATACTTAGCATAGTGTGATGAAGGATAATAGTTAATCCTGAAGCTGATCTGCTGTTTCTGAAGAGTTCAGCAGCTTTATTGCTGATTAGAGATCATTCATACTTCAAAGGGTTTGCAGTCATAAGGGCTGGAAGCATTTTAAAACAGAAGTTGCCATTCCAGAGCACAATCCCGTGGCAACAAATATGTTCCAGAGCAAACTTCGTATCTCTTGAATCAAATAGGAAATATATTCCTATGGACACTAGCATCTGTAAAATACTCTTTTACTTCAGCCCTCAGACTTGAGGAGAGGGAGAGTTAAAATTGCTGTGCCCTGATAGAATGTCTTCTGCTTGATGGGGAGAGGAACCTGTGGTGGAGTCTCTAATACCTGTTTCTTTTTAGCACTGATTGAGTTGGCTGATTTCTTTTCAGAACTTCTAAAATATATTAAGGACCAAAGTACCACCTCCCCTTCCCCAGTCATTACATGGCACTAGTGACTAATGCATCACTGAAATGACCCTGTACAGTGTTTGTCATCCTCTCTCCAGCCCAGCTGTGGAATGTGTACACTTTTCTTCTGGAAGGGACAGAACTGTGACAGAAATATTAAGATGTTTATGAGCTCTGTAGGGATTTTCAATGGCAGATAATGGTTTGCTGCTTGCATGTGTGTATTTCTCATCATTGAGGGTTTAATTGCTGAATAAAAAGGTAAACATGCAATTAAGTAAAACTGCAGCCCAGAGAGGATCTGCTGTTCTGTCCAAAGATGGTCTAATGAGAAGATTACCCAACAAGGAGGCATAAAAACTGTGCTTGCTTAATTGACAAAGAACATCTTTTCCTTGCCCTGGAGGATGAAAATATTCAGAGGAAGTTTTTCCATTGTTTCTTGTGAAACCTGGACTCAGTCACACAAGTCCCAGACTTGCTCCAGATGAGACTCAGGGCAGTCTCATCCAGTCAAAGCAGTTATGGAAAAGGGACAAGAAACTTGGAGAAAAAAAATGTTCAGAAAGAGCTTCAGAGCAGAATTCTCTGTGCAGGGACAGCAGGCCCTTGCCACTGCTCATTCTTCTCGGGTGTGATGGTGGGGTTATCATTCATGTACAGGAATAGAAAGTGGAGGCTGGTGAAGCTGTCACTGAACAAACCCACCTGGTACGACAGGTAAAGAGAAATGGAGAGATGGAATTGCAAGTTGAACAGAAAAATAAGGGATGCTGGATGGACTTTTTTCTGGAGGTTGCTTGTGCATTATCCATTGAGATCTGTGTATATTTGAGGACAAACACTTCAGGTGTGAGTGTGCTCACAGTACCCTGCTCCTGGGAAGGGATGAACATGGCTCCTGCTGCTGAAGTGTAATAGGCTGTTCCCCTTCACACCAAACTTGCCCATTAAGGCAGCTCCTGACTGGGCAGATGGCACTGCTTCCTGCCTGCAGGTTTGCTTTTAAATGGGAACAGAGCCAGCACAGCCAGGATCTGGACAGAAATTACTCAATGGAAGGAATTTTAACAGAGGTACTCAAGAGGAAAGGGCTCAGGCAGGCAAAAATATTCATCCCCAGAGCCCTGTGTCAGTCAAGCACCACATCCTGTAATTGGGAGGTCCCTGTTGTCAACGTTAGTCCATGTCCATAATTGCAGCTAGTTAGAATTTCCCTAATCATTGTAGAGTGGAAAAACACAAGACATCCTCTCAGAGATACTGCAGGGCTTCGGTAATTTTCCTAAAGTACTGTGTGGCTGGTTTACTCTGCTTGGCATTGTGATTTGCTACCCAGTTTTACAATGTGCTGTCAGCTTTGTCTCTGTCAAATTGAAATGCCACACACATTGCTGCCCTGCTCCAAAAAATCTCATCTGGTTACTCACTTAGACACATAATGACATTTTGGCTGAACAGCACTGTTTCCAAATAGTGAGAACACAGGGATTTAGAAAAGTAGAAGCATAAACAAAACTGCTGTACAGGACTGTGGCCTTCTAGAAAGCAACTGTGTTTTGGTCTCTGTCTCCCTTACAAATAGAAAACCTTCTCAGATCTCTTTCCACAGCTCATCCAGAAATAGCAGTCAAGTGAAGTCTAGTCACTCCTCTATTTTTATCTCCTCTTTGCCAGCCTGCCCCCTTCTGTTCATTCTGCCTTTTGGGGCTAAAATTTAACCTCCACTTCTTTAACAGTGACATCAGCCCTGAGTGTTCTCTGCTGGTTTTTGCACTCCTCACTGTTTTTAGGGAGAGGAGGAGACCAAAATAGCTGACTACCTGTGAGGATAAATGTGAACTCCTGGGACTTGCCTTCCATTAAAAAAGCCCCACCAACCTACAGTTCCTTGTTCTTTCTTTCCTTCTCCCTCACTTCTTTTTCTTTTTTGGCACAAATTCCTGCTAAGTGGTGTCAAAATAGTATTTCAGTGCATTTGATGATCTACTTGGTTTTTTGTGAAATGTGGTAGAAAGGGCTCAGAGCTGGGATGAGGAACAGAGAGCTAGAGAGCCTTTTGTGGGGTATTGGGACTTCTCTGCATCTGCAGCTTCAGGAATTTGGTGGATGTTTCAGGATGTAAAACAGTGTTACCATTGCCATACTGTTCATCTTCAGTAAACAGATGGTGCTTCTTTCCAGGAGAAAAAGAAGGACAAGTCAGACATAGCAGGGAAACAAAGACCCTTGGAACTTCAGGGAAGCAAAGTACCTTGGTTGTGAGTGCATGGGTACTTGTGGTGGGAATAACTCCTGGATGACAGGGTAGCAATGGGAAAGCACTTCTCCCTTAAGCACTGTGTGCTGCAGGTGCCTTCCAGTCACCTGAGACTCCTCATGGAATAGTTTAGGTTGGAAAAGGCCTTAAAGATCATTAAATCCAACTGTTACCCCAGCACTGCCAAGTCCACCACTGCCCCGTGTCCCCACGTGCCACATGTGCACACAGGCCTTGTCCTCTGGAATAAACAGGGAGTTAAACCATCACCTGCCTCATGGAAAATGTGTTGTGCTGCAAAGTGCCAACAGAAAAGTGTGTGTGACCTGCTGATTTGAAGGCAAATAGGCAAAGCCCAAATGTTAAATACAGCAAAAAGCAAACACAAAACTGACCACGCTCCTTGCCTCTTAGGTTTAAAGAGTGTTTGGTGAATGATAAAATGATAATTGTAGAGTAGGAGGCTCTGCTGTTACCTGTAACACTATTAGCATAACTTTCTTCTCAGAACCAAGGAAAGCAGGTAATGGAGAACAACATTTTGCCAAACAAGTCCTTCCTGGAATGGTTCTTGGGACTTACACAAAGGACTATATAGGGAATGTTGTTTTGCCTTCCACAGTGGAGTCACTGTGGGCAAAGACAGGCACTCTGCCTCAACTCAATTTAGTCTTGAGCTATGTTTCTGCCTTTCACTCAGTTGTAATGCTTCTGATTACATTAAATAATTCCACATGACAAAAGCTAATAGTGGGATAGTCTGGTTTCAGTTAGTGTGCCCTGAAGCCAGGTCATGATTGCTCACAGACAGCAGACTGTACAGTCCAACGTATCTGTTTTGCAAGTTATCTAAAAAACTGGTGCTTGTAAAATACCCTGTTTGCTGCCTGAAATAAGATGATGCTGAAGGAAAATGATGCAGCAGCGGAGAAGGGAATGCATACAGTGAAAGTGAAGGTTATTTTAGGCTGATGACTGTAGAACAGGAAATGTTAAGTCTTCTTAGATGCTATAGATTGCAGTCTTAGAGAAGAAGAAAATTATGCC